ATAATTAATTTATAATTAAACTGCATCAAATTTTATAAAAAATAATTTTTAATATTTATTTTTTTATTTACAATATTTGAATTCACTTGAAAAAAAGTATTAACGTGATGATCAAAAATCAAACACTTATAGTGGAATTTTCACTTTTACAGGGTTAGTGGGACATCATATCAATCTTAACTTATTTAAATAAAACTAACTTTAACTGTTAATTATCTAATTAAAATCTTTCCTCTTTCCCTACCTTCTTTTCCTACTTCTGGCTACCTTCATCTACGTTTCGTTGTTTTGAGATCGGAAGCTTTTGGGCTTTTGAGTTTTTGATGCTTGAGCCACTGGGATCTTCAGCTGCTCAAGCATGATGGAGCCGGCTTCGTGCTCCCTGCTCCAATGACCCTTTGTGGTCTGCCGATTGTTGAGCCCATCCTGGTGGCCTTTTCTTGGTTTTTTGTTTTTTTGTTTTGGTTTTTTGGTTTTTTGTTTTTCTGTGTTACTTGTTTGCTTTTCGATTTGGCGGCCCACTTATTCATCACGTAGATCTTTGGAGGTGCTTGCTGGTTTCCCCGATTTAGTGGCCATCATGCTTCTCATGATACTTAAGGGGGATGGTCACTGCCTATATGGATTTCCCACCTCGACGTCCTAGAGACTTGGCGCAACTCTTACATAAGTAGATTGAAGGGTGTCCCATTTGCTTAATCGTTCGACCACCAGAATCTATACAAACTTGTTCCTTGTGGTTGTTCGAGTGTACTATTCACCTCCCTTCATCCTCTGTTGAAATAGGTCTACTCTAACTTTTCTCTCCAGATGTTTTTTCTCTATTTGTTATTTCCTCTTATCCATTGGATAAAGTTTTGCTGTAGATGCTGGATGGCGATGCTGTAATGGAAAGTTTTCATTGCGCTCAAAAAAAAAAAAAAAAACTAAACTAACATTATCAAACTCGTTTGTGGGATCTTTAGTGTATGTGTATCTATCCTTTAAAAGAATAAAAATGATTAATAATATTAATAAATAATA